GCCAATAGCACTGAAGCAGCCACAACTTTCCCTTGAGAGTTATTGGTCCTGTATTTTGAACACATTCTGTAAGTTAGTTCATCTGAGGTATCTTGATTCAAAAAATGTTGCCCCTATGATGCACCATTTCACCCATTTAAGGGTAATGACAATGAGAGTTTTAGTAGCATATAGATAATCTGAATTGGTGTTATTAAAATTCACTTCTTTTTACATCTTATCTGTTGTTCACATCTTCCTCTGCTGGCTGGCTGAACATCTTCCTCTTCTGGCTGGCTTAAGTGACCTTGGGATAGAGACTGCAAGTCTGCTCAGTGCAAACTAAACTGAACGATACCAACAATAGTTTCCCACTGTTTAGGGTTCCTTCTGTATTGAGGAAATTCTGTAGCCTTGCAACTGAAGATGAAATCACACTCTGAAAAAAAAATCATACAAAAGTGTATTGTACTAAATCAGGTAATCTCCTTATGTAATTCAGTATTTTCAGCTCTGCATTGATATGCTGCAGTTCTGCATGCATTGTTGTGAGATGCTGGAAAATGAACTTAGCTTTTATGCAAGGAGCATAAACCGTACCGTTTCTCTGATTCCCTTCTCCATGTGAAAGTGAGCAGTGATGGAAATGAATACAAACACAGCGTGTGTTGCTTTCCTTCCCAGCAGTAGTCGTGGGGGGTAAAGAGTGGATACAGGAAGCACAGCTATATAAAGCATATCTGGCTGCATTCAGTGATGGCTGGGTTCATATAACACGCTAAAGCTCATTTGCTTGATTATGTGCCATCAAATTGTTGTTGACTCCTAGCGACCACATATTCCCCCCAGGATGATCTATCCCTCACCTGCTCCTACAACTCTTCCAGTGACGGCCCCATTGTCATTGAATGTATCCAACTCCTACCATCTTCTGTCCATTCTGTGGTTTCCTGACCTGTATAAAAGTTTATCACGAGGACAATGAGATGTTCTGGGACTCACATTTTTTCTGAACACTTTCCAAAGCTCGATGTGATCAACACAACCAAAGGCTTTTATATAATCAATGGAGCATATAAGGACTTCTTTTTGATATTCTTCGGCTTTCTCAAATATAGAAATAATGTCTTTTGTCCCTTGGCCTTTTCTAAAGACAGACTGAACATCTGGCATCTCTTTTTTCATATAGGGCTCTAATCTGTGTGGATGATCCCAAGCATTATTTTGCTAGCATGTGGAATTAAGGACATTTTGGAATAGTTTGCACATTCTGTTAACTCTCCTCTTTTGGTAATGGGATGTACATTGACCTTTTCCAACCTATTGACCACTGTATCATTCTTCAGATTTGTTAGCAAAGCTCAGTTAGAACCTTGACTGTTTTTTTCTTTTGTGGCTTGCTACATTTTAGTGGGTTTTCCATCAGTTCCCATTGTTTTTCAACTTGGTAATGACCAGAGTTCTGATCTAATTTCATCTTCTAGTAGTAGAAGTGTAAGTAGGGAATATCTTCTAAAGTATCTTAGATATTGACATCTCTACCCTACAGTATTTCAGTATATTCCTTCCATGTTTGATCTCCTTTGAATTGATCACTAACCATTCATTGGAGTACCAAGTAACCTTTGGATGACTATTGCCACACCTCCACCCTTGCCCCAAAGTCTTGACTGGTGCTACATTTGAAATCCAGCAGGGCATATTTTAAAAAGGGCCATCCCACCACTTTCAGCTCAATCCAGGTCCTGGTGAAACATGCCAGGTAACCCCTATCATCAAGACTTAAATTGCAGATAAGGGTGGCCTTATTACAGACTCACCTGACATTTGGAAGCAGTAGCTGAAAGCCAGGTCCTCTGAAGTTGTGCTGAATGGGTACAGGGGCTGAGATCAAGGGCTTCAGATGTTCCTTAATATTCTCCTTGAAAATATTGGGTGTATGTTCAAGGACTCACTGGAGGGGCTTCGAGGGGAGGAGCTGCCGCCGTCGGGAGCTCAATAAAGCTCCTGCCAGGACTCTGGTTC